AGCTCCCAGAGGAGATCATGGCCCTGCGGGACCTTATGCAGTTCTGCAGGGCCTGCAAGACGGAGCTCTTCCGCCAGGCTTTCGCATAGGGGCCGCCACTGCCACCACCACCAACGATGGCAGGGATGAGGAATCGCCCTTGGAAGTTCCACCATAAATTGCATGGCACTGACAATGTGGGATTGGCTTGAACTATCTGCTGGACAGTGCCACCCAGTGGAGAGGATTGAGGATGCCATCAACACCACTCAAGACAGTCTTGTTTACAGAAAGCATTTTATTACTGTTATTGGTATTATCATGTGATTTTACTGTTTTATCTGGTTTTATGTATGGGCTCATGCCCCTTGTAAGCCGCCCTGAGCCCGCTCGCGGGGAGGGCGGGATAAAAATGCCTAAATAAATAAAAATAAATAAAATAATAAGCTGCTCTGAGACACCTTTGGGAAGGGTGGGATATAAATCCAGTCTTTTCTCCTAGATGGCCTGGATGGAACCTTCCAACTCTGTGTGATTCTCTGATCCCTTCCCCCACGGGGCAGGGTCATGGGCAGGACGAGATGGAAAAACCGTAGCTGTCTTCAACCATAGGCCCGGCGGAACATCTGGGTCTTGCATCCCATGCGGAAGTGTACTAGGTCTCACAGGGCATGGATGTCTCCGGCCAGAGAGTTCCACCAGGCAGGAGTCGGGGGCCAAGACGACCCCGGCTCTGGTCGAGGACAGCCGGACATCTTTCAGGCTGGGGATTGCCGGTAACTCCTGATCTCATGAGCGCGAGGCTCTTTGGGGGGACACACCGGGATGGGGCATGGTGCTGAGAGCCAGTTTGATGTAGTGGTTAAGTGCGCAGACTCTAATCTGGGAGAACCGGGTTTGATTCCCCACTCCTCCACTTGCACCTGGCTGGATGACCTTGGGCAAGCCGTAGTTCTGATAAGAGCTGTCCTTGAAAAAGAGCAGTTTCTGTCAAGAGCTCTCTCAGCCCCACCTCCCTCACAGGGTGTCTGTTGTGGGGAGGGGAAGGGAAAGGAGTTTGTGAGCCACTCTGAGACTCCTTTGGGTAGTGAAGGGCCATGGGGTATAAATCCAATCTCCTCCTCCTCCTCAAAAATCCTTCCCCTGCCCTTCACCTGATTTATACACCATTCTTTTCTGTACCCGGGTTTGGTCTCTAAGTAACATGGGTGGTGGTGTATGTGAAATGCGTAAATGTATTTTCTGCAGATCCAAAGAGGCTGGGTGCCGATTCTCACCCAGATATCCAGATTCGAATCCAGGAGCAGCTTAAGAGACCAACAGGATTGGGGGTAATGGGCTTTCGAGACCCACCGCTCCCTTTGGATCCATCTCAACAGGTCCTTCTTTCTTTCCTTCCCCTCCTTCCAGGGAGCCAGTATCTGTACTCCACTCACGGCTTCACTCTTCTGAGCGCCGTCGTGGAGAGAGCCTCTGGTCATAAATTCACCGAGTACATGCTGAAAATATTTCACGACCTGGATATGTCGTCCACCGTCATGGATGACAATGAGCCGCTGATCTACAACAGAGCAAGGTGGGTGCCCCTCTAGGACTGCGGCATTTGTTGTCTTGGGGTGAAGTGGGGCGGGGCGGAGAGCACCTGTCAGCAACTCCTGCATCTGTGTGACCAGGGGTCGTTTCGTAGAAAAAGAGCTAGGGGAACTCATTAGCATAACTCATTAGCATATGCCACACACCCTGACATCAGGGGCCCGGCGGTGGACCTGCAAGGCCAGCGGGAGTGCGAGGAAGCCCCGCCAAGGCCCTCCCTGGCCCCAGGCAGGCAGGGGTGGGGAGAGGCAGGGAGGAAGCAACTTACCCTCCCTCTTCTCCTGCCTCCTCCTGGCTGAATGAGGGCCGGAAGCGGGGCAGCCAGAAGCAGGGGGCGGGGCTTCGTCATGTGC